GTTTTAGTGTTTGTTGTTCCTACAATCGCTTTTGGTAAACTGGTAAACTATGTTGTGGGTTTTAGTGTTTGTTGTTCCTACAATCGCTTTTGGTAAACTGGTAAACTATGTTGTGGGTTTTAGTGTTTGTTGTTCCTATAATCGCTTTTGGTAAACTGGTGAACTATGTTGTAGGTTTTAATAGCTAAGTTCTGCTGTTCTTACAGTCGCTTTTTTCTAAATCGGTAAACTATTTTGTCGGATTTTAGCAACTTTTTTTTAGAGATTTTGACAAAGTTCATACTTAGACTTGAACAATAAATTAAGTTCACTTTTATTTTTGAATTATATATATATATTGCGAACCGTGGTGCCTGTCCGAACGTTCGGTCTGTCTCCAGTTTACGGCTGCCGCTTCCTGCCCTGCGTTTGAGAAGCTGCGCACACAGGCAAACCTCAACATTCACTTTTGAAATGACGGGAAAATAGGCATTAATAATATTGATGCCAAATTTTATTTCGCAAGCAGGATATTCTAAACTTAATTGTTAGGAATTATTCACACTATTATTTAATTTCAAATCACATTTCCAAATGTGACATAAATTAAAAAATAAAAAATGTAAATTTACCGTATGTTATTGCTGAGCGGCTCTTAGCATGACTGAAATGCGGTATAAGTAGCTCAGAACTTTGGCTCTGAGTGAAACCAGTAGTGCAACACAATTAACGTTTTTAAAGTCCATGACATAATTTAAATTGATATATTAACTTAAACTTGTCCCCTCACTGGGGACGGGTACTTTTTAGATTATCTTAAACGTTTCCTGTCACTGGGGACGGGTACTTTTGATAGATTAACTTCAACTTTTCACGTCACTGGGGAAGGGTACTTTTGCTTTATTTATTTCAATTTTCCCGTCACTAGGGACGCGTACTTTTGCTAGTTTAATTAAAATTTTCCTGTCACTGGGGACGGGTACTTTTGCTTGTATATAATATAGCTGAACTGAAATATTGGAAAGGTTTATTTCCACTTAGATTCTCAATAGATTTTCGTTTGTTTATTTGTAGCTAAGGAGAAAGCAACACAATGAGCTATCTGTGCTGTGCTACCACAGGTAACGAAACCCAGTTTTAAGCGTCATAAGCTGTGCCACTGGTGAACTCTTCTTTAGAGTAATTAGAATATTTCATTTTTATAACTTGAACTTTGTTTAAGAGTTCTATTAGAGAATGTTATTTTAACTCGTGGTACGAGACATTGATTTATTTTAACTTAACTTTGGGACTTAACTTCAATATTACATTGTTCTAGATTAGCTGACAAGGGAGGTAAGAGGGGTATACACTGGACTGGTGAAAGAGGGATCACTCCCCTTATCTTTCTCTCTATCGGATTTACAACGCTAAAATCAGGGGTTCGATTCCCTTCGGTGAACACAGCAGATAGCCCGATGTGGCTTTAATATAAAACGCACACATACTCTCTCTATCGTCAGTCCAAGACACGACCACACGACACACACTTGCCTTTGTTTCACTCTTTTGTTTGTGATTGTTTTTTTGGTGGTACTTGTAAATAATAAGTGTTCTTGCGATTTTTTTTCTTCCTGACGAGCATAGTCAACGTTCGGAGAGACAGACAGACACACTCTGTTACTTGGTGTTCTCTGAATCTCAAGTTGGCGAGCTCTAACTGGCAATAATAATACGCCAGCCAGAATATGCAACACGTTAGAGCATCACAATAAAAGTGTATAAATACATAGCACACTACAGTGACACACTCAGACGCATCAACGAGCATTCTGACACTGCTTTCAGTAGTCATTAGCTGTCATAGTATTACTCAAGCCCCTGGTTAAAAAAAGCAAAAAAAAAAACAACAACCAGGCTGTACGTTAGGTTGGTTGAGATCTAAAAAAGCAACATTTTGATTGAATACTCACTTTACAAACGAACACACAAAAAAATCTATAAAACTAAGTTCATAACATAAATATTATAACTCAAAACATAAAGACAATACAATCAATGGGAAGTTTGAGAAATTTTAAAATCCTAACGATTACGTTAAGCAGTAGAAAATCTAGAAACAAGGTTCGTGTCGCATGGGCGTGATATTAGGCTTTTCAACCAATGAAATTCTCGTATTACTAGATAAGTGTTGATTAATGTTCTTTCTGCCACGAACCGACGCCCTAATGTTCTAACTATTAAGAGTGAAGTTTGTTTATAAATTTGAACTGAGATTTTGAAAAGATTTTTTCACTTAAATTTATTTTATGATTTTTTGTCTGTTTGTTTGTAGCTAAGCACAAAGCTACACAACGGGCTATCTGTGCTGTGCTCACCGCGTGTATTGAAACTCGGTTGTTGTTTTTTAGCGGTGTACTGCTATGTTTTAGGATTTTTGCCCAAAAAGGGAAATAAAAAAACATCCTGAAATAAGGCTGTTCATTTGGGATGAAATTT